TATTCAAATTTCACCATTTGGTGAAGAGTGGAAGGTACAACCCTTGTCGCGTGAATCCAAGGCCTTCCCAAGAGGAAATTATAAGAAGTGTACATGTCTAGGACCTGAAATGTCACCTCAAAATCCACAAGACTAATAGTCAAAATCAAATTGATCTCGTCTATGGTGTCCCTCTTGATGCCATCAAAGTCACGCACATAGACATTGTTAGGCCTGATTCTCTCAGTCCCAATCTCCATTCTTTGAAAAGTTGAGAGAGGGCAGATATCAACTCCGGATCCTCCATCCAGCATGACTCTCTTCACATAGTACCCCTCGCATTTAACTGTCAAATTATGGGCTTTATTTTGGGTAACCCCTTTACGAGGGAAAATCATTCTTGCTAAATGAGATCTGGTTGATTGCTAAGAATCTTTCCGCCATCCTTTCCAGTTGTTCCACAGTGGTTTCAATCGGAACATAAGCTTCATTGAGGGTCTTTATCATCACCTTCTGATGCTCACTCGAGCTTATCAGTAGAGACAAGAGCGAGACCTGAGCGGGAGACTTCCGTAGTTGATCAATTACCTCGTAGTCCGCAGTTTTCATTCTTCGGAAGAATTCCTCTGCCTCTTCGGCACTAAATGGATTTCTGAGCGGGAAGCGCTTCTGCTTGGCATTGTTCACTTCTTCTAGATTAAGGTACTTCCCGGATGGGTTGGTTTCATTTACTTTCCCTGTGATTTCCTTCCCCTTGTACGTCACAATTGCTTTGTTGTAGTTTCAGGGGACTGCAGTGGGGTCTTTCATGGGCCTTTGTGGTGTGCGACTAATGACCATGGGCTCATTCAGCCTAGGTGGAATCATTCGTCCCCGCACCACGTAAGTCCCTTTGGGTACATACATCTTGGGTCCTTTGTTCAGCTCAAACCTCTTAGGAGGACTCAATGCCAATTGTTCTTTCCTGTGACCCCATGGAACATAAAGAATGGCATCTTTAGGGGGTGCTACCCCCTTCTGGTTTCCACCATCTTTTTTGCACTTTGAGGGGCGGAGTTACTCTTTATCTCCCCCTTGCCTTGCTTTGCAACCGCCCTTGGCTTCTTCTCAACATCAGCGATGGCAATGATGGCTTTCAGGGCTAGGGTTAGTTTGTATGGGTCCACCAAATCATAGAGTACCTGGTCCTCTACAAGATTCTACTGAGAGCACTTAATAATGTAGTAACTAAATGAGGCAGAGGATTTTTACGTGTAAAAATCCCACACAAGGGGATCAAAAAACCACGACCTACACTTGTAGGCTTTTAAATTCACTAACTTGTAATCTTACCTATTACAAGCCACTTTACAATAATTCCTATTGCAAAGTATTTACTCAACTAACTTGTGGCGCCTTTACCACAAGCCATTTTGTGACTATCTTAGTTACAGAGGCTTTTTCTAACTTGTGATGCTATTACCACAAGACACTTTGTAACACTACATACAATTACAAAGATTTTTCCTTATGACTAAATCTAGTCAACATAAACTCAACGAGTTTATGGATTAACAAGAGGATTCCTAATCAGAATGCTTCTAGTTAAGTGGCTTAGGAGATACAATAAGTAGAATAACAAGGTTACAACTCAACTAGGACAACGACAATCTATCTTTTAGGAACTGGTCTGTAGTGGAATTCAACCTTGTTCTTCAAGCTTGTAAGGATGATCTCTCTATTTTTGTAAGAGGCTTGAAAGTAGAAATAGAACCCTTCCAGTGATGATTTTGTATAAAGCTCATTGGGTACATCTTGATCACATCACTTGAAATGATGTGAGTACTTTGTTTGGTTAGAGAATGAGTGGGATGACAGTATAGTGCAGTGCAGCAGAAATAGTGTCGTCAGTCACTTCATTTCCAGCTATGTCCAAATGACTTTGTACTGCTATGAGGAAACCACAAGAGCATCATGTCCTTGTTTGGTTCCTAGCTCCTAAAGTTGTAGCAGTTCATCTTTAGCTGGAATCTGTTAAAGTTTGCAGCAATTCAAGTAGGTCAGGTTCCCTATCTAGTTCTTAACAGTAAGTTTGTTAAATCATCAAAACACAAGGAAAGATTATTTAAGATCTATCAATTTCCCCATTCTTGATGATGATAAACTTAAACAATTATAAGTCGGAATTGGGCAGTAAAAACTAGTAAACTAGTTTCAAAGAGTTCCCCCTGATACTATGCCTTACCAGTGCCCCAATGTGTTTCCCATAAGAAATAAGAACCAGTTCCCCAATGAGTTTCCCCCTAAGTCCTATATTTGTTTCTTTCTCCCTTTTGGCATCATTTAAAAGAACATCACAAAGAAGTCTAACTAAGCTAACTCATGCCACATATGTGCACACAATCATGAGAAAGAATAGAACATAGAGAGAAGGTACTAGACATAATAAAAAAGGATTCATATTAATAAGGATTTAATATGCATCTACCTTGTTGAAAAGGAAGAGGCAACATTGGACTTGTTCACAAGAGCAGTAGTAGTACATCCCAACCATTTAAAAAAACACAAAAATATCCACCAAACATCATCAAAGAAAAAAAACATATCCAGAAAGCTGGTCACTGAAGGGGTTCTTAGGGGCACTAGGAGGAAAAGGCTTGGAAGTTGCGGCAAGTGTCTAGAGAACAAGGTCTATTCGGGCGTTTCCCGACTTTTGCTCGTTGAGCAGTTTAGCCTTGAGGTTCTCAACTTGCGCCCTAAGATCAGTATTTTTCTAGGTCAAATGGACCACTTCATTATTTGGCAGGGGAACCGCTCAAGCTTGCTAACCTTCCAGGATAGCATTCCTGGCCTTTAATAGACGAATTTCCTCAGCTGCACTATTTTGGGCATTGATGAGCTGAGAAATAGTTGAAGTACTTCCTATCCCCCCACACTTCTCAAGACACTCGCACTCTTCCAAGGTTGTCTGTGAGAATGTCTGCTTTCGGGTCCCCACTTTACCTGTTCCGAGTGGAACCTTAAAGAACTTGAACACTAGAGTAAGCAAGAATCCATAGGGAAGCCCATGATTAATGTCCTTGAAATTGGCAACCTTTTGCATGTATCCAATCATTATGGCGGGCAGACTCATAGGGTTCAAACCTTCCAGTTGCTCCATTAAGAATAGGTCAGATTTTGAAGTAACAAATCTCCTTTCTGGTCGAGGTAACAGGACTTTGTTAACCAACTCAAACAACAACTGGTAGACAGGAAGTAGTGCTTTCTTATGGATCTGGTCCCCTTTCTGATTAGCATTGTATTTCACAACTGCATTTCTGAAATTATACAAACAAACATCTCGTATACTCGAAACCCCAACTGTAGGAACTTGCAAAATTTCTCCAAGCAATTGCACGTGAAAGACGATGTCTACCTTATTGACCAAAGCACAGACATGGTAAGTATTGGCTGGAAAGAGACTAGCGAAGAAACTCTTACCTCCTCCTCATACACTTTAGGGGCATCAATGTAAAATAGATGCACACATTGTTGAAACTCGACCATTTCCAGAATTTGGCGCATTCTGGCCATCTCCGAGATTGTTGGGTCAAACGTACGACCCAACAGAACTTTTTGATGCCTTAGGCTCTTAGAGCCATGGAAGACCTCACTTCTTGCTTTCTTTCCAATACTAGGTTCTTCAACAGTTTCAGACTTGCGTTTCCTAAGATTTTCTCCACTAACTTTCCCTCTTCCCTTGGACTTGACTAGTACATCCTCATCACGCATTACCTCATTTATCTTGTACTTAGATGTTGACCCTTTCTCCATTGAAACAGGCTCAGCCCTTTTCGAGGTCTGTCTAACAAGGGAACCAGGTTCCTCAGGAGTTCCTTCTTCCACCTCAACTAAAGGGATAACTTCATCACTTTCAGGTACACCATCCTTTACCAACTTTCTTCTTTTCTTCTTACTACTTTTCTTGCTCTTTTGGAGTCCAGAATCATAATCCACTTTAACTTGAAGCCTGGTAGTGGGTCGCTTAGTTTCAGACTCAAGGGTAGAGACAACCCTTCGCTTATTTATAAATTCATCAAGGGCCACGTTGTCCAGGTCTTCTCCATCACTAAATTGCATTTCTGGTGCTTGAATTTCCTGAGGCACATCATCGAATGCAGGAACAGTACTGTCATGGGGATGAGAGTCCTGACCTGGGTCCTCCAGAGAGGGATCAGGTTCCTCATGTGATACCCCAATAGTTTATGCTACTGCATCCCCTTCAATAGCCATAATGGCCCCTTCTTCCCCCACGCTTTGTGACTCATGCTTCTGGAAAATAACTTCATGTAATACCCCATCAGTGGATACCACAAACACAGTCTTTTCTTCTTCAACTGGTGCTTCCACAATCATGGAATCGACGGCAACAATGGTGGAACCTTTTGTGAACTCAGTATTTCGACCTTGTTCTCCACTTAGGGTTTGACTGGTGGGACAACAGATGACAGGGAGAATGGAACAGCAATTTCAAGGGTTTCTGAGTTGGGAAGGGATTTGGAGACTGAGGAAGGTGTTACTACAACAGTAAGAGTGATAGATGGTGACGAAGGCTCAGTGAAAATGAGAGGTTCCATAGATGGGTCAGAGGTAGTTACAGCTGAGGTAGAGAGATCGAAAGTTCTCTCAGCCATTGGAAGAAAAAGTGTGACGATCCTTCCCTTTTGGGTGAATCTAGAGTAGGGCTTATGGTTAAGGAGAACAAAAGAGAGGTTTTTTAAAAGGAGAGGATAATTATGAAGGGAGAGGAATAGGCACCAATTCTAAAATGACGGTTGGGCGTGGAGAATTGCAATATTTCAGAGGGAGATAGAATGTTTGAATTGAATGGATGTGATAGCAGGATCTGAAAAGTTGATGATATGGCAGTTGCATTTTGTACCCTTTTTAAGATGTGTATTAAAAGTATGCACATAACTACTAACCTTTAGTACAAGAACCTAGTTCTTGAAAAACATTTTCTTCATCCCTTTTTTTGAAAAGAATTAATCCTCTTTTATCAGTCATGCACTACATCTATTGCTTCTATGCTCATCATGCGTGTTTACCTGCAACGGTATTGAAGTGAGTTAGACAGGGCCAAAAAACACTTTGAACCAATTATTTCTTAAGAATACGAGCCAGCCAAAGAGGAATCAGTTTCTTAATTTGGCCTCAACAGTCCTAGCTTTACTCTATTTCTTTCAAGTTGTTCCCTACTTAGTGCCTTGGTGAAAATATTTGCAATTTAATCTTTTGTGCTATAGAACTTCATGCATATCAACCCTTTCTCCACATTATCTCTCAAAAAATGATGCCTCACATCAATATGTTTGGTCCTTTTATGTTGAACTGGATTTTTTGCCATGTTGAGTGCACTGGTGTTGTCACATAGGAGGGGCACACTTTCAGTAAGTACCCCAAAATCCTTCAATTGCTGCTTAATATATAGAAGTTGAGCGCAGCAGGATACTGCAGCAACATATTCAGCTTCAGCTATTGACAGAGCCACTGAATTTTGCTTCCTTGTTCCCCAAGAGATAAGAAATGAACCTAAGAAGTGAGCCATTTCAGAAGTACTTTTTCTGTCCACAAGATAACCTGCATAATCTGCATCAGCATACCCGATTAGATTAAAATTGTCACTTGATGGATAGTACAGCACCAGGTACTGTGTTCCCTTGAGATATCTTAGTATCCTTTTGGTAGTCTTCAAGTGGGATTCCTTAGGATTTGATTGAAACCTTGGACACAGCCCCACACTGAAGACAATATCAGGTCGACTAGCAGTGAGATAGAAGAGAGATCCAATAATGCCTCTATACATTGTTTGATTCACAGGAGATCCGGCTTCATCCATGTCTAGTCGAGTCAAAGTTGCAATGGGAGTGTCAATCACCTTTGATGTTTCCATGTCAAACCTCTTCAAGAGTTCCCTGATGTATTTTTGCTGACAAATGGAAGTACCCTTTGGGGACTGTTTTACTTGAAGACCCAGGAAGAAGTTTAATTCCCCCATCATGCTCATTTCAAATTCACTTCCCATACGTTTTGCAAATTCTTCACACAGAGAGTCAGCTATTGCTCCAAAAATGATATCATCAACATAAACCTGAACAATGAGCAAGTTCCTTCCTCGTTTCTTTAAGAAAAGAGTATTGTCAATTTTTCCTCTCTTAAAACCATTTTCTAAGAGAAATTTTGACAATCTTTCGTACCAAGCTCGAGGAGCCTGCTTTAGCCTGTACAGAATCTTTGTCCAGTTTGAACATATATTCAGGGTGCTCATGACATTCAAACCCTGGGAGTTGCTTCACATAGACTTCTTCCTTAAAGAGTCCTTTCAAAAATGCACTTTTGACATCCATTTGGAACAAGGTGAATTCCATATGATATGCAAAAGCGATTAGATTTCTGATAGCTTCTATGCGAGCTACTGGAGCAAACGTTTCATTATAGTTAATCCCTTCCTCCTGATTGTAGCCTTGGACCACTAGCCTGGCCTTGTTCCTTGTGGCAATTCCATGTTCATCGAGCTTGTTTCTAAATACCCACCTGGTTCCTATGATGGTTCTATCTTTGGGTCTGGGTACCAGGTGCCACACACTGTTTCTCTCAAACTGATGTAGCTTGTCTTGTATGGCTATAATCCAATCTGGATCTTTTAAGGCTTCGTTGATATTTTTGGTTCTATTTGAGAGAGAAGGCTGAGAAGGAAAGTGAATTTCTGGCTCTTGACCTGGTTTGAAGTCCGAAATCTAGATGAGTGATTATATTATCTATAGGGTGAGAGCTTTGATGTCTCCAGTTGGACGTCTGAGGTTCATTCTGAGAGGAGGAAGGTATGTTTGGCTGATTTTCCTCTATCCTTCTCTCGGGTACTAGTGGAGTTCCCTGAACCATATTAACCACTCTTTCTTCAGCTTTAGTGGCTGTAATTAAAGTGCTTGGTTCTGTTGATGATGAGGCGACATTGACTTCATTTGGCTCTTTCACTTGACTTATCATATCTACTTTTTTGTTTGTCATGTTAATGACTTCACCAGGAACATGTAAAGGTTCTCCATCTTGATCTTCCTCAACACTCTTCTCAAATGATAGATGAGATTCATCAAAAATAACATGGACATTTTCTTCAACAAATTGAGTCTGCTTGTTATATATTTTGTGTAGGCCTTGCTTTGAGAAGAGTAGCCAAGAAATATTCCTTCGTCACTTTTGGCATCGAACTTACCAAGCTGATCCTTTACATTGTTGAGAACATAACATTTGCATCCAAATGTCTTAGGTGAGTCGGCTTGGGTTTTCTTCCATTGAACAATTCATATGGGGTCTTGTTTAGAAGTGATCTGATCATGCATCTGTTCACTAACTAGCAGGCAGTGTTGACAGCTTCAGCCCAGAAGTTCTTTGCATGTCCACTATCAATCAACATTGTTCTTGCCATTTCTTCCAAAGTTCTGTTCTTACTTTCTACTGCTCTATTTTTCTGGGGAGTTCTGGGAGCTGAGAAGTTGTGAGTGATGCCATTTTCATTGCAAAATTCATCAAATTTGACATTGTGAAATTCTGTCCCATGATCTGATCTAATGCATACAACTCTAAACTCCATCTTCACCTGGATTTTCTTCACAAAGGCCACAAATACTTAAACGGTTTCATCTTTTGTTATGAGAAACAGAGTCCATGTGAATCTGGAGTAGTCATCCACGATTACAAAAATATATCTCTTTCCTCCCCTGCTTTGCACCCTCATAGGTTCACATAGATCCATAAGTAGGAGCTCAAGCGGCTTTGAGGTGCTCATATCTCTTTTTGACTTAAAGTAGGACTTTACATGTTTTCCTCTAGCACAGGCATCACAGACCTCTTGAGTCTTGAATTGTGACATAGGCAGACCATGGACCAGGTCCTTCTAAATTAGTTTGTTCAGAAGGGACAAGCTTGCATGGTCCAGTCTTCTGTGCTGTAGTTCAGCATCACCGTAAACCGCCTTCAGACAACTCAGATCACCACTCTGCAAATATTCGAAATCAGCAACATAGATGTTCTTGTATCATTTGGCCACCAAAACTATTTCACCGGTCACAAGGTCAGTGACTGTACATATTTTGGACAGGAATTCCACCTTGTTTCCTTTGTCACAAATTTGAGAGACACTCAAGAGACTGTGCTTAAGTCCATTGACATAGTACATATTTTTAATAGAATGAGTGAGTGACTTCCCAACTTTTCCAATTCCAAGAATGTACCTATTTTTTACCGTTGACAAAGGATACACTCCCTCATTGCAGGGATTTTAATGAAAGAAAGTCTGTGGTGTTTCCAGTCATGTGTTTCGAACATCCACTATCCATGAGCTATTGTTGACCGCTTCCTTTCACTGTTCCCTGCACAAGAGATTAGGAGTTAGTTTTAGGAACCCAAACAAGTTTGGGTCCCTTATAGTAAGCAAGAGGATGAATAAGAGCTCTCTTAGTCCATGCAGGTAATGTGCATTTTTTTGTGAGTGGAACCTGGTCCCTCTTTTGTGTTCATGGTTTCAACAGCCACTTTTCCTTTCTATACTGATTGATTCTTGGCCTGGACACCTTCCTTGAAGTGCCCAGTGTTCCCACATTGGGTATGAGACCAGTTATCAGATGTAGTGACACTCTTACCGTGAGGGTTGTGAGGTGTTTTCTCCCTTTGGAACCCTGCTCCCTACCTTTTTTCACTATAATTGGTGAGCAAGGCAGTGGTAGTTTCTTGAGGACCAGGTCCACTTTAGAAACCTTTCAAGATCATTCATTACTTTTTCCAAATTGTCTTGGAGGAGCTCGTTTTTCTCAAGTTCATCACACATCCTACATCTCAAAGCTTTCACCCCATCTTCAAGCCTAAGGTATTCCTCCCTAACTATCTCTTTTCCTCTTTCAGAGCTTTCAGGTTTTGACTTAGTCAAATGGCTTTATTATTATTTCCCTTTGGTCTGCTGTTTCTGCCAATAGATCACTCTTTTCGTTTCTAAGAATTTCAATGGTTTTATTTTGATCGGTAACTGCCGCCACTAAGTCTTCTCTATTATGTTCAGATTCTTCTAGTTCTAAGAACAAGGAATCCCTATCCTCTGCAAGACTACAAAAGGCAGTAATTAAAACATCAGCTAAACACAAGAGTTTTTTTGGAGAATGAATTTCAAATTTTTCTGAACATCCTTGAAGTTTTACCTCTTCGTTGCCATTGTCTTCATCATCATCTGATTGAGCCATCAAAGCATACGTTGAGTCATATCCAATCTCCTCGCCTTTAACTACCATCATGGAACTATTACCAGTATTAGGTTTATCTTGTTTTACTTGTGTAGTTCCCTCATGAGCTATTTGCAAAGCCTCCCTTATTTCCTTTGCAGTGTCGTAAGTAGAGATTTTCTCGTACTCTTTAGATCCCAGTCCATATACTAGAATTTTCTTGGCATGAAAATTCTTCTCCACCGCTTTCTTATCTACTTCAGTGTATTCTTTGCTATTTATTTTTATTGAAAATGGAAATTCATCTAGTACCTTGACTGGAACAAAAGGACTATCGAAAATGATATCCTATAGCTCACAATCCTCAGCCATGATGAAATCGTGCATTCTAGTTTTTCACCACCAATAGCCTTTTGCATCAAACTTGGGGGGTGGTATATGGATTTACCTTCTTCAAAATTTAGTTGAGCCGCCATGAGGATCCTTCCTAGGTGTTATCTTGATAGGAGGAACCTGCTCTGATACCAAATGTTAGTTTGTATGGGTCAACCAAATCGTGGAGTACCTGGTCCTCTACAATATTCTACTGAGAACACCTAATAAAGTAGTAAGTGGCTTAGGAGATACAATAAGTACAATAACAAGGTTACAACTTAACTAGCACAGCGACAATCTATCTTTTAGGAACCGGTCCGTAGTGGCGTTCAACCTTGTTCTTCAAGCTTGTGAGGATGATTTCTCTGTTTTTGCAAGAGGCTTGACTGAGAAACAAAACCATTCCAGTGATGATTTTGTATAAAGCTCATTGGGTACATCTTGATCACATCACTTGAAATGATGTGAGTACTTTGTTTGGTTAGAGAATAAGTGGGATGACAGTGTAGTGCAATGCGGCAGAAATAGTGTCGTCAGTCACTTCATTTCCAATTGTGTCCAAATGACTTTGTACTGCTATGAGGAAACTACAAGAGCATCAGGTCCTTGTTTGTTTCCTAGCTCCTGAAGTTGTAGCAGTTCATCTTTAGTTGGAATCCGTTAAAGTTTGCAGTAATCCAAGTTGGTCAGGTTCCCTATCTGGTTCTTAACAATAATTTTATTAGATCATCAAAACACAAGGCAAGAGTATTTAAGATTTATCAATGTCAAACTCCTTATCTTCACAAATCATCCCGATAACTGGGCCGTTGTTGTGCGTCAGCAATGGATTATTAGTCACATTAGGGATTTCTTCATCTTTCAGCACCACCCTTTTTTGCTCTATTAAGTTTTTGATTGCCCTTTTGAGAGACCAATAGTCTTTAGTGTCATTCCCTTCTGCTCCCGAATGGTAAGTACATCGAGCACCGGGTCGGTAGGAGGGAGACTCTAGGTTTTCCCTGGTTTGGGGTATAGGTTGCAACAAACCCATTTGGACTAGTTTAGGGAAAAGGCTAGAGTATGATTCACCAATATGCATGAAGTTTGTTCTTCTAAGTGGCTCCCGAGCACGAGCATTGTATGAAAAATTATTTTGAGGAGGACGGGGATTATATGGAGCTTGGTGAGGAGGGTTATTTCGAGGAAATAGAGCTCGATTTTGGTTAAACTGTTATTATGGCAGAGCGTATGGCTAGGCGTTCATCACCGCGTAAGGCTGGGAGGCCATAGAATAAGCCATATCCTGGTTGGGATAATAATGTTGTGG